TGGAGATAAAACATCGCAAGCGATAGAACCTTTAAGATTAAAGAATGAAATTAAAACCGACGTTAAAAAGGCACTCGAAGTCAACAAATTATTACGTGCTTTGGTTCGACCACAGGTCATGTTTTTTACTACGGTGCATGTGGGAAAAACAGTTTTAACGACGGAAACAGTGCAATCTTGTGATAAATATGAATGTCCGTGCTTTACATCATGAAATACAAATGTTGCTTCGGTTGCTGATAATTTATCTAATTCAGTGACGGGCGTAAAAAAGGTGTCGAGTAAACCTGCGGTAAACCGACAAAAGAAGAAAAGCAAGAAAAGTAAATGAAAATGAAGTCCACTTACTTTTCTGCTTTTTTTTAATCAAATCTTGATGTTTCACAGTATAAACATGTTTATCTAAATCACTTTTTCCTCCAGCATGAACGGAAATGTCCTTGTTACAAGCTGAACATCTAGCTTTACTTTCATCATGATTAACTGCCAGTAAAAATTCTGAATATTTTGGATCTCTCAACCAATCTTTGTTAAAAACGCCTTTTTGTTTTTTCACTCCATTTTTATTTTCTTTGTTTTCAACCGAACCTAAGAGAGCTTTAGCGCGCACAACGTCAGTTGACAATTCCATCATATTTTAGAAACCACCTATTCTAAAACTTGTTGTTTGTGTTCCAGACTGGTCATTTGCAATCTCATTACCAACAACCCTCTCATTTGTGAAGATAATAGCATTATGCATTTATGATTGGACCCAAGCACATCCAATTAAACCAATAACTCAAGTAGTGTAGACATACACCGAGATATTACGTCAGCCTCTTTCTCGGACACCATCTTCTCCAGCACTAATTAAAAAAGTTAAAAATCAGAAAAAATCAGAAAATCCGAAAGCGATCAGAAAAAAACGTCAAAATCAGAAAAATTCTGATAAATAAGAAGAGTTGGCAAGGTTGTCCCTTTTTTTACTGAGAAACTGATTTTACTGAACTTTTCTGATTGGGTGATAGAAAAATTTACGATCTGATGACTCAGAAACTCAGTTCAGTTCAGTTCAGTTTCTCAGTAAAAAAAGGGACAACCGTTGGCAACCCTGCACGAGATGCCCAGAAGTTCGTGCGAGATGATCCACATTTTTACTGTTATTCATTGTAAACTCATGCTTTCCCTTGAAAGTCATAATTATTGGAAAAGTTGAAACAGAGAATGATTCACACAGTCAGATATAAATATAAATGGTACACCTTTACCTGTTGATGAAGAAAACTAGAAATGGTTGAAACGACGACTGCATTGCAAATAAATAGATGTCGCGTTTGTCGCGTAATGATCAACACTTGTTTAGTTTTTCTTCTTAATAATTCGTTTTTATTTTTTATATTTTGTTGGTTCTATCTACAAACGAGTGCTCTTTTGACAATTGAGACTTTATTTTGTTATAGTTATAAATATGAAAACGTTAGAATTGTCATTTCAATTGTATGTTTCTAATGAATATGAATGGCAATTTTAAAGTTTTTTTGACAGCATTTTGTCTAGTTTTTATTTGAATAGTTGAGTGTGTATGACTTCTTGGAGTCTTTGGTGTGATTTTGAGTGCTATTCATTGAATGTTTTGTTCATCTTTAATAAGAATTTTGTAAAAGGAAATATAGTGGATATTTATTAGTACGTGCTCATCAATACATGCAGCTGTCCTAGATATTGCATGTGATCGAAATTGTTTTCTTATCTATTGTATGTATTTAGATATTCATTTATTCTGTATGAACGTATCACTAATGTACATGGATCAACTTCGATTTCAGCAAATTATCCAGGGGTATGGACATAAAAGTATCAAATTTTGAGAAGAAATAAATTTTAAAAAGAAAACAAGCTTCTTTTTTTATGTATGTTTGTTTTTTTATATGTCACAAATATTCTACTTATTGGAAGGAAACTACGTAACATTTTTCAAGAATAATTTCGACGTAAATGTTCGTTTCATGAACAAAGTTTTTCTTTTATCTATGGAAACATCGATAGGTATGGACCGAAAAAAGCTATTCATGCAGATTTCAACTATTTTCCTTGTTGAAATCTAAAATTTTTATCCAGTACATTTGTGTACTTAATATTAAAAATAGTGCACAAAATATGCATCCATTCTTTATCTGCAAATACACCATTAAAATATTTATCGTTCGGATTAGTGCACCAGAGCTTTTTCAATTTGCAAAATGTGTATTCCAAATAGGTATCCATTAAATAAACGTATTTAAATTATTTAAAGTTTCTTTAATCTAGGTGTGTGTACTTCTGAAATTTGTTTTATAGAAAAATATGTTTTTTATAGAAAATTTTTAAGTATTTCTCTTAAATATTCTATTTTGTTTCTATGACGATAAGAAAAAACAACATGGAGTAAAAAAATGACTGATATAAAAAATGTTTTTTTTACCTCAAAATACTTTATTATCTCAACAACAGAGTGTAACTTGGTCAAATTCACTGTCAACACAAATGTTTACCATATTCTTATAACACCACTAACAAGAAAAAACATAAAACTGTATAAGTCAACGACAAAAGTGAATAAAATCATAATAATAATAAAAATAATTATGTAATTTAACGATATTGTTAATGAAAATATTTTACAAAGTTTGTCCGTCACTTTATCTCTATTTCCCCTTTAATTCAACTATAGGGAAAGAAAGTTGTTGAAATAACAAATAAAAAATAAATTAGTATAAAATATATTTGATTTTCCTGAAATGGATCAATTCTACCCAAGCGTCAAAAAAATATCTAGTATAGCCCGATTCATCTAGATTACTAGATTTTTCTATCTCTATCTATCTATTTGACCGGTCACCGTTTGGTGCAATGGGCAATAAAAAATGCATCCCATTCGTTTTTGTTTCTTACCAATTATATAGCTTCATCGTAAATCAACCCCATTTCCTTTAAGTCTCTAGTAATTGTTTCTCTCCATGATGTTGGTGGTCTTCCCATTCTTGTTTCTCCTCCTTGTGGTTCCCATTGTAATATCTGTTTAGGGAGCCTGTCCCTGTCCATTCTTATTAGATGTCCGAACAAACTTAGTCGTTGGTTTTTCATAGTTTGCACAACGGCTGGTTTACTCGATTGTAACTATTGGGTAAAGACAATGGAAATCTAGTAATCGATTGCTAAATTTCTTCTAGTTGCAACTATCGATGTATCGCCAGATAATCGATCGATTTAACTATTGCTAGACACATGATTTACACATGCAGATGCATCTGGTTAAAAGTCCCTTTTCCAACTAGTAATTTAGATGATAACTAGTCGTATATCGTTCGATTACAGACGAAATATATCTAGATTTTTCCCATAGAAGATGTTTGCTTGGGTATAATAAACTGTTTCTTTCTAATGCATTTAATTTCATATATTTCTATCAATATTGATCTTAAAAAAAATTATATTTTTAGAAAAGAGAGAAGATCCGATAAAATTTAGAATAATTTTTTTTTAATGAGGACATACATTATCAGTTTTATGTTCAAAAAGTTCAAAATTGTTGTCTAACTTTAGTATTAGAAATGGAATTCTGTTGATAAATTTAATTGATTTAACATCGTCATCATTATTATCAGTCAAAAAATTTCCAGCATTATTTAATAGACATCATCTTGTTTTCAAGTATCTGTCATTTTTGACAGACATTGGAGGTGTCGTGTTAATAAATTTTAATTTCATACAGTTAATATTTGCCTGACAAGATAAATTGTAATCAGATCAAATAGTCTCTATTGAAGATTATTAAAATTATTATTATTATCAAAAATCTAATAGAATGTTTTTTTTTTCTATAAAAATTTATAACAATAACGAAATTAAAAAATTTAATCACAATAGCCTGGACAAATGCGGTAATTATTCAATTTTTCATGCAAAAAATTTGAAAGAGAATCTATAAGAATCATAGTCAATTATTTATTAGAGATAAATGGGGGTAAAGATTTGAGATCTAGATAATTAGTAATAAAGAACGGATTATGACATTAAAAACTTGTCATTGTATCATTGTAGTGCAACGAACAAAAAAAAAAAAATTGTCAATGAATGATAGAAGATTGTCATTTTTAGATTGATACTAGATTCTAGTCTTTCTAGAAAATATTACTTTACAATAAAAAAAAAAAAAATAACGTTTGTCTCATAGAACGTATCATAGTTTTTGTTTTTATCCTCTAAAATTGTCTCTTTTAGTGAATAAAAAAGTAGGTAGTAAAATGTTTATGACAAGGAACTTTTTCAGCTCATTTTATAATTTCATTTTTGATAACCGACATTCCATTATTGAAAATGTGATATTTTAATCTTAGTTGATCATTTAGATAAAGATTGATGAAAAAGTATAGTATCATCTAACCAATGTCTAGTTGTATGATACTGTTCATAAGAAAAATGATACATTTTAATGAATAAAAAATGTTTAGAAAATACGAGATACGTCTTCAAATTAGTATCACACTTTATAGAATAATAAACGTAATTTGTATCAAATTATATTTCAGTGCAAATCTTGAGAGAGAGAAAAAAAGAAGAAGAATATTTTTTAATAAAAATAAATTCAGTTGATTGGTGGTGGTACAATTTTGATCAAGGCATCTGATCTTAATCAGAAATAAATACACATTATTAACACATTCTCATGAGACTTTTAACTTCATAAGATTGTTGACTGACTTGAATTTGAAGAAAAAAACAAAAAAAACTTTTTTCAAGGTTCATTGTATTCATTATGTTTATTAGAATGCCGAATAATATTGACGCAGTGGTATATTAAAATTAGTGAGTAAGTGATTAGGTTTTACAAAGAAATCTCTCTAAATATTATATTTATATGTTTTTTTTTCTTTTATTGATTTTTTGAATATTGTATTGTCGATTTTAAATATTACAAATATGTAAATTAAATTATACTACCATTTACAATTTAATTATATAATATTAAACATAAAAAAAACAACAATAACAAATGACTGAGTTAACAACCAGAATTATTAGTAGTGAAAAAGATGTTGCACGTCTGGTTAATATTGAATTTCGAAAAGGTAGTTTTTAACAACTATCTTTTTAATGATTATTTAATATGAATTTATTTATTAAAAATTATATAATATGTATTTTTAGAATCACTTCAAGTTAAAGATAATTCGGTATCTGAACAAGCAACTATTACTACAACGTCAACAGCATTTAGTAATGCTTCACCATCTTCGTATAATAGCGATACTGAACCCATTGTATTTAGAAATACAACTTATATTGAAACCGTAACAACAATACCAGTACGAGAACAATGGACAAATAAAGTAGAATTTCTTCTATCAGTTATTGGCTATGTTGTAGATCTTGGTAAGAAAATAATTTTATTTAAATTTAATATATATATATATATTCTATAAATATTTAATTAATTTAAGGTAATGTATGGCGTTTTCCTTATATGTGTTTTGATAATGGTGGTGGAGCTTTTCTCATACCTTACATGATATTTCTTTGTGTCATCGGTATTCCCATGCTGTAAGTATAAATTAATTAATATTGAAAAAATATTTAAATTTCTATTCTATTAATTAGATATTTGGAATTATTTCTTGGTCAATATTATCGCTGTGGAAATATTACATTATGGAGTCATATATCTCCATCAATGAAAGGCATTGGAATTTCTTCATTTTTAATTGTTACCACTGTCACACTATTTTATACTACTATAATTGCTCATGCTGTATTCTATTTATTTGCATCATTTCGTGAAATAATGCCATGGAGTTTATGTTCTCATTCATGGAATACACCTAATTGTGCTGAACGTATGCATCTAAATGAATATGATTTAAATGAAACGAATTTTATTGAATTTGATCAATTAACATCCTACACAAATATTACAAATATTACATTTATTCAAAAGACGTCATCGGCTGATGAATATTATAATATTTACATGTTAGGTATCAATAAATCATCTGGTCTTACACATTTGGGAAATATTAAAATTGATTTGTTATTATGCTTAATATCAATATTTATTCTAATGTATATTTGTATCTATCGAGGAGTTAAATCAACAGGTAAACTAAAAAGAAGATAATTTAGAATAGTTGTAACAGCAATAAAATTTTTTCTTTTTTTATTAGGCAAAGCTGTTTATGTTACGGCTATATTGCCCTATTTGGTACTCATTATTCTATTAATTCAAGGTCTCACATTAAAAGGTTCTCGTGTTGGTATACAATATTTCTTAAAACCTAATTTTCAAAAATTAAAAGATATGAAAGTATGGTTTAGTGCTGCAAATCAAATATTTTTTACTCTTGGTCCAGGATTATCTGTATTAACAACCTATGGCAGTTATAATTTACCAACTAATAATTGTTATTATGATGCACTTATAGCCGTTCTAGCCAATTTTATTGCCAGTTTTCTAGCTGGATTTGTTGTATTCTCTGGTTTGGGTCATATGGCATACAGATTAAAAAAACATATTACAAATGTTGTTGGTCAAGGACAGGGTGCATCATTATCATTTATTGCTTATCCAGAAATATTAGCTACATTTAAATATCCAACATTTTTCTCCATTTTATTCTTTTTAATGGTAATTAATTTGGGTTTAGATAGTGATTTTGGTGGTCTAGAAGCAATGTATACAGCATTAAGTGATGAATATCCACTCTTGAAAAGAAATAGAAAATATGGAATGTTAATTATGTGTGGTCTATTGATTTTGGCATGTTTACCAACAGTAACACAGGGAGGAAATTATATTGTACAATTTTTAGACAAATTTTCAACAGCACCATCTCTAATGTTAATTGTTATGTTAGAAGCAATAACAGCAACATGGGTAAGACAATAAAAGAGTGATTTTCAACATATTAATTTTATCATTTTGTTTTAGATATATGGTATTAAAAATTTAGTAAATGACATGAGACTAAATTTGGGCTTTGAACCAAATCTTTTTTTTCGTGTAGCCTGGACAATTTTGTGTCCATTTATCGTTATTTCATTAATGATATTAAGTTTGACCTATTCTGATCCATTAATATACGGTAATTATGAATATCCTCAATGGTCAATTATATTTGGCTGGTGTTTAAACATATGTTTCATATTACCCGTATTATTTTATATTTTACAAACATTTTTTCAATGTACTCATGGAACAATGAGAGAACGTTTACAACAATTATTTCGAGCAAATAAAACTTCTTCGATTAAATGGCAACAAGAAAATGGCAGAACTGCGAATATTTAATCAACAACTGTGTAAACATATTCAGTCATGTATTAAAAGTCTCTTTCTCGCACACAACATCTAATTAGCTCTGTTTTAAGAATTTTTCTTTTTTTTTTCTGCTTCAAGACGTGGCTAGTCTGATCTTTTAAATTTTATTCCATAAAGACATTGTTTAATCCCATAGAAATAGTAATATTAATAAATGTGTAAAGAGCAAAGAACATCTGTAAAAAAATATATTTCATCTATTCATTATATTTATTGTGAATAGAACAGATGTTTGTTCTCATCCAAAAGGGTGTCACAGATGTACATGGATAATTAGAGCAGATTTTATATTTATCACAGTGGCGTTGATCGTATGCTAACTAGTAGTAGGTATTGGTTAATATAGTTACATATTTGAAACACAGGACCAACAGATACTTATCAAGACTGAGAAACTCGGACAAATGGAGTGAGACGATCGAAGAAAAATCCATTAAATTTTTGAGATTCTTTTGCACTTTCTCTCAGTCAAGTATTCAAGACTCTCATCCAGACGCTAGTGAAAATCAGCTTCAAGTCTCTTAATCCGTCGACTAGTGGACAAAAGTGTCTTATTTCATGTACTTTTGCTACGTTGGAAAAACACAATTGATTGGATGAAAGTGGATGAACATTTAGATTACACCTGATAACGGTAGCAAGAATCTGAAAAAGGAATAGAGATTCGAGATCGAGAAAACTTTCTCAGTCTCATTCAGCTCTTGGTTCCCTTCAGGAATTTCGTAAAAAATTTTTTCTGGATTACCCCGATTGAAAACTTGTTACGTACTAACCGACTATGAAGAGTCCGAATCTACAATCAGTTTTTGCTGAACACGCTTTTAAAATTTCTCTACCGAATTGATATGTTTTGCTACGTTGGAAAAACACAATTGATTGGATGAAACTTTTAGAGACATTTAGATCCAAATTGAGATCTGAATCTCTTTTCCTTTCTCAGATTCTTGCTACCGTTATCAGGTGTCCTCCATGGAATCTAAATGTTCACCCACTTTCATCCAATCAATTGTGTTTTTCCAACGTAGCAAAAGTACATGAAATAAGACACTTCTGTCCACTAGTCGACGGATTAAGAGACTTGAAGCTGATTTTCACTAGCGTCTGGATGAGAGTCTTGAATACTTGACTGAGAGAAAGTGCAAAAGAATCTCAAAAATTTAATAGATTTTTCTTCAATCGCCTCACTCCATTTGCGCGAGTTCAGTCTTGATAATTATCTGTTTGCCTTATATTTCAAATGAGAAAGGTCTTTAATGAGTAATATACAATGCATTTAATGAGAAAGATCTTTAATGAATAATATACGATGCAATGAGAAAGTTTTAGAATAAATATTGTTAATTAGCTGTCAGCTAATCATCACGACGAATGTTTAAACAATTTCCACATGAACACTTACAATCATTTAGATCGAAGATTTATTATAACCAGAAAAAGATATATATGTTGAATTAATAATGAACACAACAGCCATAAACGTAAAAATTATAGACTATAGCAAGTAAACAGACACTTTAGTTGCAGCGAAATGAGAAAAGACAGAAAACAGCGGAAATTAACGTGATTTATTTTGACAATTAAAGAAATAGTCGATCTATGTAATTTGAAATAGAATGGAGTTTGATGCTATTAGTAACAAAAACAACTTTCGAGACTTTGCATCTATAATAATTCCACAACTATGTAAATTTTATCTTTATCACTTACTCTTCTATTAATTACTACCATATCCTAGTGAAACTTCTGGTAAGCAAGATCTTGATAAGAAAATGTAAGAAGTCAAGATTTTGAACATCTTGTAATTTCTTAACTTCTCGTACCAAGATCTTGATTAAGATGTTTGAATGATTGAACCTTATACTGAAGATCTTAGAAATTCTTGAGTCATCGTTTTATTTTACACTCTTGTGTAACTTAAATATAAGTGCAAATATTTTCACACTTAAAATAACTTTGAATTCTTTTTCGTCTTGAACGTAGTTGTTTAAAGAAGAGCCTATAAATCTATATGATCGTATATCTGATGGCTATGGCTGTCATAAATGAAACCAAAATGTAAAGAAAATTTTTCACTTAAGACCTTGCAATATCTTGAGTGGATTCCCTCAAGACCTTGAAAGTTCTATTCCCAAGATCTTGATTTCTTGGTATTTTTTCTAAGATCTTGTGATATTTCTTAACCTAAGATCTTCACCATCTTGCGTACAAGAAGTTTCACTACGGTAGACAACAGAAGTCGATCCAACACGCCCAAATAAATAAAAATGAACAGTGTATTACTAAAATTATGACGAGAACAACTTAAATTAAAGCTCTTCTGTTTTCTTCAATGATTTTGAGGGTGTACGTTGTTTAATGTCACTTTCTGGTACATCGATCATACTTCGTCGTTCTGATGACAGCCTGATAACACTGTTTTTTCTCTGAATAATACCCACTAGTGCTTCTCTAAAATCAGTTGACGTAACAGAATAGATTAAAAATGATAAAACATGAGTGGTCGTTGCTAGATTACTCAATGACATTGTTACTAAATTTCTATAATTAATTTTATGGCGAACCAATATATAGAAGAGTGCCGATGGTGTAGTAAAAAGGATGAATAAAATGGTAACAAATATTAACGTTTTTGTTAGACGTTCTTGATTTGATGAACGTTTTGATGCACGACGTCTTTTCGAAAAGCTTAAACGATTATTTGATTCACGAACTTTACGAATAATAAATATATTACAAATAATCATGATCATAAATGGTAGAAAATTGTACAACATTAAATGAACAATTTCATATATAGAAAAAAACTTTGATGAATAACATTTCACTTCACTGGTACCATTAGTATTGGTCGACGAATTATTGTTTAATGGGTATCGTTTTCCATTAATAACAAATACTGGAATGTTGATAAATAGTATAAAAATAATAATTGTCAAAGATAATCGTTTAGCTGTTTCAGCACGATTTAATTTTCCTCTCAGTTTACATTGATGATGCAATGATACACATCGAGTAAATGTAGCTACAGTTCTTAACCATGCTGCACATTGCAGGGAAAAATAGGCAAAATATGATATAGTTTTACAAACGATAATACTCGTTTGTTCTAAATTACGATGATTACGAAATGATTCTGGTGATAGAAAACGCCAAAGTATTTCTCTTATAACATAATTCATATTCCACGTAAACGGGATGATAACTTCAATAATAGACATATAAGAGAACATAATGATAGTGGAATTATCTCGGTTAGGCATTAAACGCGAGAAGATATAGAAGCATAGAAGGTTCGCTGGTGTGCCAATAATAATTAATATTAATGAATAAATCCCCGATAATAGATACAAAATATCAACTAGTTGTGCCATGGTTATTAAGAATGCTAATTAATAACGATAGATCACATGGTTGTACGTCAGTCGACTGTACTATGCTATCTAAAAGACATGGAAAACAAAAAAATAGAATAGTACAACAGTAAGCGTTATATATGATACAAAATGTAGTTATATGGGAGTTCTACATTACGGTTATCATTTTTAATACGAACAGTTCATTTCACACATGTTAAGATCGTTAGTCTAAACAAGTTACTCTTATGATTAATTGATAAACGATAATGAGCACATACACATATATTGAGATAATCATAGTAAGAAGATATGTTAGTTTTATAAAAACAGAATAACATTACAATCAGAGAATTATTTATTTAATTGTTTTCTACAATTAACGATAAAATTCATATAGTCCCAATTTTTCTCCAAATCGGAATACATATTTTTATTCTACAAGGACAATATTTGAACCATTACTTCTCATAGATCTGATTGACCCGTTTCATTAGTATACACACATTGTCTAGAACATAATCGAAAAAGTGAAGAAAAAAAAACAGAATCTCTCTAGAGAATTGTTGCAAAAAACAAAATTATTTTGTGTACGATGCGTTGTGTAAAAGAATCTAACTTATAGTTCCATAAATTTTTATATTTTGCCTAATGATCTGGAACAGATCGGGAGATCATATAAGTTGAGAAATCGTGGCTCTAAATAGTTCTATGAGAAGCGAAATCGTACAGATACACGAATTTAAGCGCTTCTGAGTAAATCTTTCTGGAAATTAGATTTTTATCTAAAAATATATCTTTCGCTCAAGATATCAAATTTGATTTTTAGATCAAAATCTAAAGTTTCAGAAAGGACGTTAGAGATACTTCACTCGACTATTTGTTGAATAAATTACGAATATTGAATACTGGATTTAATTTTGGCATTAAATGTAGTTCCGGTAACTAAATTTCCGGATAAAAATTCATTTTAATAAAACAAATAAAGAGCTACAGAACAGACTATTTTAGAAAAATGCATTTTCTCATTTAATTCAGAAAAAGGTTACCTTAATCACATAGATTGCATTTTTTCTTAATCAACCATGTTATCTTTGAACCTAACGATATAGTAAAGATATTGCTAACAGGTCAGTTTGTACATAATTGAAAAAACTTTCTTTTCATATATTTGTTTCTTTCTATATACTACTAAAATACCAAAGGGATGTGCATGATAAGGATTCTAATGGTACTCTTTAACGTCGGTCTCCAAATCGATAAATCGATAAATCGATATGCTAACTAGACGAAAAACATGAAAATTACCCAAAAAGAGTTTAAGACTTCGTTATTTCAGAAAAAATTTTCAATTTTGAGATAAACGTGATACATGATAGAGTGGCGTATCCTTTATAAAATAAGACCACTCCTAGCCCTCTACAACCTTCTACTGGGTAAATATGAATGTTTTGAAGTTTGTCACTTAAATACTCTATTTTTTCTCATTCGAAAACGGTTTTCTTTATTCCGACACTTGAAATGTTTTCAAGGAGTCGTCACTCTTGAGAAGTGAACAGTTCTGAACAAAATGACAAAATGTCATCCATCTCTCACCCATGTTCTCTGATAGAATTATGATAGATAATTTTCCTAAAAGCACTTAAAAAAAAGTGATTTTAGCGTTGTAATGTTCCTGATTCAAAACATCGTTTTTTACTAGTACACTCAATTGACCATGTTTACTCCTCTCCCTGAAAACTCATCTCATTGGACCGAAATTTTTACTACAGTTACTTCAAAATTTTCTGTAGAGGTTAATTTTTTTTTGAAAAAAAGTGCTTCTGGGCCGAGCTATAGGCTTTTTTAAAATCAAAATTCAAAGTTTTAAAAGGATTTTTGTGTATTTTGCTATAACTTGAATGAAACAATATTTAAAAGAAAATTAATCCTCTGAAGAAACTTCTAAAGTAAAATTTTTTTAAAGCAAAGTGACAAATTTAAAAGTAAATCGTATCATCCTAGTGAAAGATCGTTCGTAAGGAGTTAGTAGTTTCAATCTAGATGTTGTCATATTTTATAAGAGAAAAATGATAAAATTCTAACGAGTCAGTGTATTTCATTAAATCCTCTGTTCTCTATATTCAAGTTATCAATGCGAAACAAAAGTGGTGACTGATTTCTTGTACTTCAGGCGACAAAACTAAGAGACCTTTTTTCTCTTATCTTAGAAGTAAGACAGAAGAAAAAAAGTTAGGCCGATACAAGAGTAAGCCGAATAGAACAATATGGATCTTTTTTAAGAGTGCAGTGAGATGTTTTTGGATATTTAAATTTGTCAATATGATATCAATGAAAACTGTCGTCAATGTTTGTTTGGCGTTTTAAAATTTCACAAAACATTCAATCCTAATATAATGCATTGTAAGATATTAGTTCTGTTGATTAAGAAATACTTTTATCATAAATTCAATCACTATAGTCACAATCAATATTCAGTCCTTCTAAACATTCTTCTCAAATAACTGCAAAACTTTCACCGATGACGAATTATATTTTTTATTTTTTGGTGTCATCTGTCACCAAAGCAATATCAGAAAATTAGTTTTTTTACTAATTTATAATCAATAAATTCATCTTTTTTAAATTCTACAGGATGGAACTTACCGATAATATTAATAATCGAGTTTAGTTTGATAAATTTTTATTTCTCAGTATCGTGTCGATATAAATATATGCTTAATGGATTTTTTTTCTAGAAATATAAATGCATATATTTTTTGCAGAATGGAGAAAGAACTGATTACATATAAATGGACCCTATAAGTTAGACTATTTCCTACTATAGGCTAAGTAATAGACAGATAGAGACGAACGGAGGAAGAAAAAAAAAAACAATAGAGCAGAACGGGAGCGAAAGCCAAAGAATAAAATAATTTTTGTCTATAAAGCAACATGGAACATCAATGTGTTGTATCATTAAATAAAACACATGCGCAAGAACATTTTCCTCGTGTTACATGCACCTTTCACTGATTCCAACCGAAATTCATATTCTATGTAATATAATCTTGTACAAGACAGCTCATTTGTTTTTTAACTCAATGAGACACTACGATGTTTGATAGATCTGTCGTGCTTATTTATAAAAAAACAACAACTCCATACATCTGTTTGTTCCCTCGAAGATGATTTTTACCATTTTTCTTTTTGTTGCCTGTGCAACTTTTCTTTTATTGTCTCACTTCAATTTTATTTTATTCATGTTTATTCTACGACAAAAGAACAGATAATATAGACTATTACATTAAAAAAAACCGATAAATATTGATGACAATAAACAGTATTTCATTGTTCTGGAACTGTTTATGGCATAAGATAGTCAAAATTAATGATTATAAGACAAAAAATGATTGACACAATTGTGCAACGATTTATGTAAGAATAATATTCTGAAAAGAGCATGTATATTAATGCCCCCCCCCTCCCCGTCAGAAACATAATTTTTTTCATAAATAGTCGATGTTGAGGTAAGCACATCATCAAATAGCCCACAGTATCTACTAACAGAATCCAATGTTATTTGGTCCTCATCGAAGGAGTATAGAGGTTTTTAGAAAAGTTTTCTGAAAATCTTGAAAAGCTGGCTTTTCGAAAAAGTTGTACTTTCTGATTAAAAAGCAAACCAAAATTTACTTTTTAATAACACCAGAAAATAGAGCAAAGATTTCCGATCAAAAGGAGATATCTACCAGCTCTAAATGATATTCTGATCAAGAGTTATGAGAGTTTTACTGGAAGCCCTAAAACTTGCATCAGATACTGGCGCCACGATATCTCGCAAGTGAGTTTCACTTTAACACCATTTCGTAGTTCCCAGATTTCTCGGTAACGAAACATCACAGAGAGCTCGGGAAGGTCTTAAATTGAAGCTGACATATGTGGCTAGAGCCTAATAGAGCCCGATTTTTGATATTCGCTCTAAATTTGTGATTAGATGAACATCTTTACCAAAGTTAATGAGACTTTTTACGCTGACTATTAATTTGAAAAGAAAAATATCAAAAATCCGGCTCTATTAGCCTCTAATCACGTGTATTGTCGTCAATTTAAGGCCAGTCCGAGCTCTCCACAACGTTTCGTTACTGAGAAATCTGGGAGCTACGAACAGTCCATTTTAGTCACTAGTGTGGCTACATCTCGCAAATCATGCACGATGGAGCCAAACAAAAAATTTCGTCACCATAGTTTCACAAGATCAGTATCTCCTGAAATTTTGGTCACGATCGGATGTATAGTTTCAGAGATAGGTTTCAGACAGGGGAGAGGGGGGCTTAATGATCGATCTTATAACGATAAATATATACAATAATTAATCATGTCAGTTAAGAGTATAAATATCTTAGAATACACAGTAACTAAGTACTCTAATTAATGTTTCACATTGTTATTATACAGTGTTATAAGAAAATAACTATGCTTTTGTTGTTATATAAATGGCATCATCAGACAAAAGAAAAACACTAGTTTAGTCATATATATGATCTTTTTTTCTTCTTCCTCTCTCGTTATAAACAATGCTTTGATCGATCGACTACTCTTTAATAACAATATTTACCGTGATTCAGTGGCTTAGACACAAACCACTTTTTAACAAAATAATCAGTTCTTTCAATACAAAAAGGCTCTGAATAAGCAAAAAATTGTTTTATCAAATTAACTGAGACACTTGTGAAGTTCAATATGTCAGAAAAACAATAAGAAATAAAAAAAGTCATATAACAGAGCATCGTATTGCGATAAGAAAACTTCAGCAAAATCTGGCACTCATTGTCCATGTTCAATAACTTCAATATCATATCGATATTGATAAATGTTTTAATATTGACTTTACAAAAAAATATTGCGAAGGAAAACAATAAAAAAAGTCTTTAAAAAGACATTAATACCGACATGTTCGACAGGCAAAGAGAAACGAAATGAAATGTTTTTCTGGACGTAACAATTATTAAAACTATTTCATCTGTATATAATCTAAT